GTAACGCTCTAAATACACTGTTTGAACTTTACCTTCTTCTATTTGTTGGGTGGCCCAACATTTTGCATTGTAACATTCTATGTCCTTGGTCAGTTTATGATCTAACCTTTCAACACTCTGTCCGGCCTTTGGAACATCCTTTTCATCCACAGGCATGTAATAATTTGCAGTGAGGATTGTCTCAGACACTTAATTAATTTTTATTGTTGTAAATAAGAACGAACAAAACTGTAAGTAAGAACGCACGAATTGTGACTAGATATGCACTTTGGTGTTGACCATCATAGTGAGTTGTTGTAGTTTCACTATGAAATATGAAGTTCGTGTATTAAGGTAACCATACAATCTCGTTTAGCTCAATAAACATAATAGTGGCAGGCTTGCTGATGTTAATAGCACAGAACAATTGAGTAGCGCAAGTGAATTCAGATGTAAGTAACACACTTAATAGTTCCCAATAACTTGGGTCCAAAAAAAATTTTGTGTGTCTTCATTCAACAGTACATGCAAAGTCACAGACTGTGTGAATGAGCTTACATCTACGACTACCTACCAGCGAAGTCCGCTTCATATGTCTTCCAGTCTAGCTAACGCGGGGTCAGCGAAAAACTGCTATTATTAGCAGCAGCAGGGCGATCGAAACCGAAATCGTCAAGAAGGTTTTCATTTGTCGAATGTCACTCTAGATACGTTGCACACTCTTTCTTTTCACGTGGATTCTTCTTTGTCCTTTTCTGTGCCATCTTGCCACTGCTCAAGTAAATTGTAAAGATTATTTACTTTGTTCAACACATATCAGTTTGGTTAAGGCTATATATACTCTTATCTATGCAAATTAAAATAAAGTGAGACCAATTCAACAACTCGTAATTGCAATCAATCAAACAATCACGTCTCACTATCTTGCCAACATACTGGTGCAACATAAAAGCATTGACAAACTTACATATTCAAGGATTTTGATGGCGCTTCAAGTTCGCTACTACCTAATTTTTCACTTTTTTCTTTTCTAGCTGCTTTCTTAGTCAAACTTCTCAATCTCCTTCATGCCATCTACACCAACTTTTTGATAAACAATTACATTTCAATTACGTAAGATTTTCTCCCAATATTTCAAAATTAAGATAGTAGTTCTAAGAATGATAAAGCAGATTCAATTATGAGAAAGACATTTTGAATAACAAGTACATTCAACTTAACATATAGACATTAGAACCAAAACTCATGCCAATCAATTCTCATACTGTAGGCTTCAATTACTGGATTGCTACAGTTAGTTGGGGTTTCAACTTATGAACAAGAGTAAACAATTACTAATGTTTATTAATGTCGGCATTAATTAGCTTACGAAAATATACATGATCTATGAGGTATAATCAATGAGGTATTAGTTACTTGACTGTGTATATATGTATAAAAAATAGATTGGAAATAGCACAACAAAAAATAGCTATGTGAGTTGGAATGTATTCTAGAACTTTGGTATAGATGATATTTGTATTTTTCTGTGGAGGTATAGCTATGTGGTTGTTTTCATGTTGATAAGGTTTTCTCCTGACATTCCCAAATCAAGATAAATTAATGATATAATAGATTCAATTATCCGCAAAACATTTTGAACAACAAGTATATTCAACCTAACATATAGGCATTAGAACCAAGATTCATGCCAATCAACTTTCATACTATAGGTTTCAATTACTGATCTGCTACAATTAATTGGGGTTTCAACTTATAAACAAGAATAAACTTATGTCTACATTTCTTTCCTCACAAGGGTTCCATTATCAATTTCTAGGACTTGATTTAATATCATTATGCTAGTTGATTGTGCATTTACAACCATGTCAAAGTATTTTTTTACTATCACAGAATGTAATAGTTATCTAACAAGATGTATACGCACACTAATTAAGATAACTGGTAACCATTTTTCCACACTAAGAAAGGCAATCTGAACAAGATGTCTTACCTTCAATTTTTTTTCTTTTTTTCCCTGACTTCTTCCCACTGCATGTTGCACGTAATTATCATCAATCTCACGTATTGAGTTCTATAGATGTTGTGAGAGACAAACACTAGTCATTTACGTATTAAGTGATTTAGATGGAACCTCAGGTTATCTGCCATTAAGCTTTCCTGTTGCTTCATCTCTGCCACCTTTCTTACTTGAAGTTCTCGATTTTTTTCCTGCCATTTTAACTGGAGTTTTACACAGACAATTGCACTTCAGTTCCATTATGCTTTCCCTGCTTATTCCTAATGCATTACAAAGTACTAACATATATAATATATCACTTTCAAATCTTAGTAACAATAGTTATGAAAACTTATAACCTATTTCACACTCTGTTTGCCAAAATTAACAGTAGGTTAATTATTCTGTTTGGCCAATTCCACTTACAATCTACTCTCACTCATTTATCAAGTTTGATGGGATTGACTTCTTCTTTTATTTCTTGTCCTACGCTACAAATATGAGTTAATGTAATAACCCGGAGGTACCAATTCACAGTTACATTGGTAAAATTTTACAGAGTAGTTCTTACACTATAATTGCTAATTCATTGCGTGTTACAGTTATCCAACTTCATGTCCAAGCACACTAGCAAAGTAAAACTTATAATCTTTTTTCCACATTGAGTATGCCAAGCTAAAAACTATGTTATTCATTATGTCTACCCTGTTCAAATTGTCATCTACTGCCCTAGTTATCAAGTTTCAAACAATCAATTTCTTCTTCTATTTATCTTATGATTATGCAAATACGAGTTAACAAACAAACAATAGGTAGCAATTTCACAGTATGTTCACGCAATATTACATATCAGTTTTGCTACTGTAACTGCTGACTCACTGCATGTAACAGTTATTCAACATAGTGTCCAACCCTACTAGCTAAAAAACCTTGTAATCTTTTTCTCTGCAATGCATCTACCAATCTAAGCGTTATGTTATTTTACTCCGCATAACAATTTTACTCTACGTCATTATATATTCATATGAAATGTCTCTTATACAACATGCTGTAAGAGGCATTCTTAAGGGAACTATCTTTGTAACACTTTTTTTCGTTTTGTATGTCATCATGAATAGTATGTACAAACCACACATAACATATAATCTGTACACAGGCGCTGCTAACCAACAAAATCTATAAGAAATTCATAGAAACAACCAGTACCCCTGTTATATAATGACTACACTATTGCTACTAATGTGAGAGTTATGACCCCTATTTATCCCTTTCTAACAACTCCCTCTACTAATTGGTTTGGAAGTTCTCCTTTTCTTTTTGGCAAACACTTGGTATTCAAAATTTCTGTCTACTTTACTCTCCCATATGACCCATGAATAGATCTAATTTCTAGCATCTATAGATTTTCGACAACCATGATATAAAATCATGTGATGCTATTCACCAAACAATGAAAATTATGTCATTAGTTTGCAATATTGTTACCTGTAGGGTTTATGTAGATGCGATTGGGTGTCACTGCTTTGGATTTCATCATCTTTAGCTTCATTGTTCAATCCTGACCTTCCCCAACCCTTTATAGATATTAGGCCTCCAAAACTCTCTCCTTCAGTAGGTAGTTCTTCCTTTTCCTAAGTATATTTTGATTGCTCTTCTTCTGCCCCTTGTCTGCAACTTTCCTATTCATTGATTGTATTTTGCCGAAGTTCTAAAGTTGTAGATGAATATTGACAACTTTTTGGAGGGAGACTAAAAAAAGTTTTTCGTACCATGAATTGAAATGAAGTCATAGCGAGTCAATTAGGCGGGATTTTGTGGAAGGGAGTTTCAACGATCGGTAACGAAGGCATTAAGCTCAGACATAGTTTTTAGAAATTTTTTCCTTGCTCATTAATCAAAACGACTCTGTTTTGAGCTTTGTCAACATGGATTGATGATGGCCACTTCTTCAGTTTTGTGAGGGAACCGTTCAGGGACGTCCCTGCCTGTATCCGAGGAAGAAGGGAGGAGGGGCTGGAACGGTTGTCTCTTCCGGAAGGTTCACGGCCATGATTAGGCCAAAAAAATTTGTGCGGCTCAGATCATTCCTTGTAACTCGATTTTCACGCTGTGTGGGACCCACAAAAATATTGTTTTAGTGTTACTCGCTGTTGTTCTATTGTTACACCTTGTACAGATGATGTTACGCCGTGTGCAAATGGTGTTACACCTTCCAGAACGGTTGCTCTGACAACCGTTCCAGCCTCGGATCCCTTCTTCCTCTCTTCTTGTTCCTGTTCATCATCACCAACGATGCCATTTTCCCTCTTTTATCCTTCATTTTTCCGATCGACAACAACGAAACCAAGACATGGTTGGTATTTTTTTTTGTTTCAAAATTTTCTTCTTCCTCCTCCTTTCCAGAGCTTCTCTAACCTTTTGTTTTTCCCCTTTTTTTACGAGTTTAGACTGTCTTTTTTTTTCCCGTCTGTGATAGTGCGATTTTGCAGGTACGAAATTTGGAGATTTTCTCTATCGTCTCATGTTATTTTGTAAGTCTATTTTCCCTCTTGAAGCTACCCCTTTTCCTATCTTATCCTTCATTTTCTCTGATCGACGACAACAATACCAAATATATGGTTGGGAATTTTTTGCTTCGCTTCAAAATTTATTTTTCCTTCTTTTTTCTAGAGCTTTTCTAGCCTTATGTATTTTTTCCCTTCTTTTTTTTCCTTTTGCAATGTTTAGATGTTGCAGTTACGAAATTTGCAGATTACCTCTATCATTCTCATGCTATTTTCTAAGTTTTTCCCCCTTTTTTGAAGGTAAGTTTTATATGGTTATTTTCTAAAAGAAGAGTTATTTTTGTTGTTTCCTCCCCTTACTTTTGCCTGATTTCTATCTTTTTCGTCCGTGACTAAAAAACATTAAAATGCATTTAACAAATTTGATTAAGTTCTTTTTGGTGGATCTAAAAAGTTTCTTACCAATGTTTGCTTATATAATTTGTACATTCTGGTGATGTTGCAGGTCCAAAAATTGAAATTTTCTTTGATTCTCTCAAAAACTACTAATAAGGTGGTATGGGTCAACATATTCCCAACCTATTTTGCATAATATTGGTGAATATTTTGAGCGAGCCTTCTTCTATTTGCGTATATGTGATTACAGTTTATACTCTGCTTTTCTTTATTTTTTTCTCTGCAAAAGAGATTGCTTTGGATGTTTTTTGTTCATTTATTTCTTGTTATGACATATTAGATGTAAGTTTCAATTTTGGTTATCATGAAGTGTTTATCCTCTTAGTTGTGTCTTGGAAAGTTTAGATTTATGACATGTTTCCTTGAGCCTTTTAAATTTAAAGTTGATCAATCCTCACTAGATGTTGGACTTATTTGTGCATTTCATAGGTCTGTCCTTTTTGGGTCTTTTTGTACGTGGGGTTACTTCTTTCCCTTGTTTTTTCCCTTTTTCTGTTCTAAAGTATTGTAATGACATAATCATGTTTAATTTATCAAATGTTTGACAAAATGTTAAAACTATTAATTTGTCATATAGCAGCTAAAATTGAAAAAAAAGTTGTCCCCTGTAAACCGTTTTCTTGATTTTCAACCGAAAGACTATGTTCCTCTATCCATGAATTTCCTCTTTCTCTTCTCATGGTCTTCACTTACTGATAAAAAGGGAAAGCTTTATGTGCTTATATAATCTCTTCTTCTATTGTAGTTTTACAAAAGGAAAAAGTATCTATTTTTAAATGCTAATCTCTTGGAGAGGTCTTCTATTTAAGATTTTTCCCCATGAGCGCGAATGTGTAATCTTTGTCATGGTGCAGGGTTTTTACCCATAATATTTTGGTTGGTCTATTTATTTAGACAAAAGAAAAAGTGTGATGTTGGATATTATATAGGTGCAATCTTCTGATGAGTTTTTCCCTTCGGCCTTCTGTTTTATTAAAATACCAGATTTTGAACAAATGTCATGAATTAGAAATGTATATGCTCAATTATAGATGGTAGAAACTGATATGTGAAAATCGGCTCTAATAATTTGAAATTCACTCCTTTCATTCATTAGTGAACAGTTCGATAATAGTAGCCTTCTTACATTTTTTCATGCAACTTATTTTAGACGGGTTTTCCTTCTGGGTTTATATTGTGTATGGCATGTGTTTTTAGCAATTAAAGGATTATTATATGACTAATTAATATGTTAACAGGTTAGACAAAAAAAGTTAGAGGAGTGTGATTGGCAGTGGAGTGAGAGGAGTCTTAACATGGGAAAGAACAAGCATGCATAGAAGGCATGTTAAAGATTTGTCAATTGGCAAAGCAACTCTGTATGAACTTCAACTAGATGTTGCCTAAGGTATATGTAATTTGGTGATAAAACACTGCATTCTGCTGATTTATTTTGGTGGTTCTTGATTCTCATTTTGTAGAATTTAAGTAGTGAACTCTACCACAAATCCTTGGAAGATGCTGTTAAGGTATAATTTGTTCATTATCTTTCATTGCTAATCACTGGATAACATTTTGTTCCATGTGTGTTTCTTGTATTAGGAACAAAAAGAGGTTTACTTGAAATATCACACCTAGATAATCAGTTATTACAAAAATGGCTGGTCTGTGTGTCTATCTGTTTTTTGCATATGATATTTTGATTTGGACAAAAGATTAAAATGTTTAGTCCAGATTATTATAGAACAATGGTGAAGTATGTGTATGTGTGTGTATAAAAGACTATTACATGCGGTGAGTTTATTCCTAGCATGTATTTAGAGACCATTAACAGGTATAAGATTAGGAAATTATGGCTGCATATTTGCTCAATGCAGCAGTTTTGCTAGAGAAGTTTTGCTTAGTTATACTTGGCTTAGTGTCTTTAGATCTCGACATATTACTGTTGCTTGGGTAAATATTTTTGCTTTAGGAATCAATGTTTTTTTATTGCCTTGAAGACTGCAGGTGTAAAAAACATTTACTCATGTTGATATATTCACCAAGATTTATTTCTACCATTTTTTTGGGAAGTCATTTACTTTATGATCATATAGAAGAGATTTTTATTATGGCTATAGCACAACGTATGGTAGCACAGACGTGATGTGGACATGATTTGCTTCAAACAAGCAGATTTTGTTTGGGAAAAAATCATATGATTTGCTTTAGTATTTGTATTTAACATGTATTTGCATTATATAAGTTGACTTTTTTTTGAGCTTTTAATATTTCAGGTTCCAATCTCGGTCCTTTATGTTTTGCATTGCTGGTCAAGCAGAACCACCCAAAAGAAACAAGAGGTCTAGCTGGTTGAAATTTATCATATGCGGAATTTGATAGTTTTCTTTTATGAAAAACTCTGGATTTGTTTTTTCTTTGCCTTTTTCCGATTTTTTCAGTTGGCTTTTTCTTTAATTTTGGTTTCTTAATCAATTTGGATGTGAAACTTTGGAAATGCATTCAAATGTTTAGTGCTTAATGCCTATTTATGGTTTGGCAAACACAAGTTCTTTGCTTCCTACTGATCCTCAGGCTTTGTTGCTATTGTTTTGCTTTGTATTGTAGTTTCACACACCCTATGCTAGATTTGGTGGTCTAACATATTAATTATAATTATCTTTTATGCTCTAATATGTACCAAATGTTTATTACAAGATATTAAGATATGCAACAAAGGATTGGAGAAATTCTTTTCTCAAAGTGCACACTATTTAGACTCTCTTTTTTTTCCCTGGAAAAAAAGTTTATCTAATTTGATTTTGTCTTTTCTTTTCTTTTTCCTAATTAATTTGATTTTTTCAGCATTTGTTTGTTCTATATTATTGCTAGATAAAGGAACGAGGAAAAAGGAGGCTGCTTTTCTCCATTCAACCATGAAGGTGTGTTTTAATGTTTTTGTGTTCTCTTCATTTCCCCCCATCCCTCCTTAGTAGTTTATTGTAATTTTTTTCTTGCTTTGTCCTATTTATTGGTCTTGAAAAAAGTGGAGAATGATTGTTTGGGAAGGTTATCCTATTTCCTCTAGATTTAAAGTTAATAGATTACGTATTTCATTTTTATTTTTTATGTTTTTCTCTTCTCGTATTTTTTGCATCATATTGAAGCATTCCTTGAAACTGCAAAATGGATTGTAGGAATGAAAAGATTAACCTCCAAGTGAAACTTCATATATAGGGGAGTATCTGACTGTTTTGCTAGCAATACAAAATAAAAAACAATTGGTTGCGGCCAGATTATCTTTGCATTTTATCCCTTGGGGAGTGTTTAGTTGTAAAACAAGACATATTGTGCTAATGTTGGAATCTTATTGATTTTGTGTAAGTATGACTAAATATAATGTATATTGATGATATCTTGGCAATGAATACTCTTTCTCAGCTCTTTTTGATGAACCTCCTCTTGTTCCCATAATGATTCTGTTGTTTGGTGATTTCTCAAATCATTTTCTTGGTTTTGTTCTTGTTCTAGCTTTTATTTGTTTAAGCTATCATGGGACATCCTTTTTGGTTTTAACCCTTTTGATCATTTTTTCCTCGTGGTAGATGGCTACCAAAGCACATAGAAATAAGGTAATTTCTTGCTGACAAAAAAGAAAATGGTTATGACATAAGATATGCATGTTAGTAATTGTACTTCTTGCTGCAATTTAATTTGTTTGATTGAAGCGTCTATAAGGTTCCTAAGCAAGACACATAGGGCATTATCTAGAAAGCTAATTCTTTTGACTCTTGAATCTTTGAATACTTGTGCATCGTGGCTGTGGTAAAAACTTGGTTCTAAATTTCTTTTTTTTCTTTTCAAAATAGAAGTAAGAAAATTGTGCCCAAGATAAAGGTGCAAAGGTGCAACGGTTTATGCATACGTGGCCTACTATGAGAGATAGGTAGCCAGCTATTTCACACTTTTGGATAGCATTTTATAGCTCAAGTAAGTGAAATTAAATTCTTGGCTTCTTGTTTTCTTAGTTTTGTATCAATAAGTTTGATTATGCCTACATAAGTTTGATTATGCCCACAATGTGCTGCTTGCTTTAGTAAGATGTTTGGCGTGTTATGTAAATAAGTTTCTTAATCATTGACTTTAAAAATTTGGCTACTAAAGTAAGCAAAAAAATCAGGATGAGAAAATTCCAATGGTAGATTTAATATAAATTGGGAACTTAAGTGGCATGCCACTTTTGCTGTTTCATCGAAGCACAAGGACTTGACAATCTAGGAAGTGGTTTAACTAATTAAATGGCTGAAATGGTTTAAAAAATGTCATTTTCAAAAAGATGAAACATATTTAAATTGTAGCACTAAAGAAGTTGTCATTTTCTTTTTTATTGATTTTTTTTATACAGTATGTATTATACAAAAAGTTTTTTTGTCTTTCTTCTTGTCTCGAATTCAAGTAAGAACTTATATACAACCCATAAGTAATGACAAAAAGGTGCAGAATATTGGCTGATTAATATCTTGTCCTTTTTTGGGAGCACATGTGGGAATGCAAAATTTGGTTTAAATCTATTTGATAAGTGTGCAGTTTCAAACCTTTAAACATGAGATACACAATTTTTATACTTAGTCTAACTCATCCAAATAAATAGTTGTGTATCTGCTTGGTGGTGTAGAGATGTTTTATTACATTTGATGAAACAAGATTATGAAGCCTCTTAGCGAGTTCTTACTTTATGTTATTTAAATAGTCAAAATTAATACAAAAAATAATATTGCAAGTCTTCTATTCTACAAGTTCCTATATTCTTTTCTTGATGTCTCTACGTTTTATGAATTCCAAAGAAATTGAACTTCTTTCGTCTTTTGGTGATTTTAATTCCAAGATTCAAAAACAGTTTTGAATAAGTTTCAACTGTTGTAGGAAAACAAGATTAAAGTAATAAAATTTGTTGGGTCGGTGGATGAATATTTTGGCCTCAAATGCTATTTTGAAAGGTATTGATACCTTTCTTTGCTGTTATCATGCGCCCAAAATATTTCCATTATATATCTATTTCATTTGCTTTATCATATCTCATTTGCTATATCAATAAGGTTCTAAACTTGAGATAATGACTTGTTTATCTTATCACAGATTGGAAGCATATGCAGCTTTCCACTCCCGATTGTGTTTTGAGTCTTGTATTTCTTACTATTTACATTAAGTCTTCATGGGTGTTAGTAGTTGAGAAAAAAAGGGCAAAAAGGGCATTTCATAGGCTTTTTGTATTTTTATAATTTATACCTTTTGGAACATTAAGAATATTGTACTGATACTGCTTTCTAATGGTAAAATCTGGTGGAGAAAGAAATCCAGCAAGTCCTGTAACTTACAATTATACTTTTCGTTTTCTTTGTAGATGAGAGTCCATTTTCTCAGGTCTGCTAACATGGATGCACTTCACAATTATAGTATCATTGGAAATTACTTTTGCTAATTGCTTTAGAGACTTTTGAATGGAAAAATACGATACAGCTTATCTAATTTTGAATAGATGAATACAATATTTATGATTCAGCTTAATATAATTTGCAACAATTATGTACTTTGTATAACTGCAAAAACCTAAATAATTGGACAAACTTGAAATTTAATTATGTACCATGCATAACTGGGCAAACATGAAAATTTTCACTGCGATGCGCGGTGTTCTCCTCCTAGTTCTTGAATCAAAGCTTAAGACTTGGGAAATTGTTGTGCTATTAATTGGAACCGACGGAGATTAGAAATTGTTAAATGAATGTCGAAGTTGCTTCTTGTTTCTTTTGAAAATGAAAACCTATTTACAAAAGAAACGGTTTGCTAATTTGAAATTTGAATGATTAGCCAAAAAGAGATCGATGACAGTTTCAAAGCCTGCAAAGTTTGCAACTACACCTATGTAACTTTTTTGGCGGTCATGCAAAGAAGAAAGCCGTCAACGTTAATTCACCAGCAGAAAGGGTCTAGTTTTATGATTTTATGCATTTGAGTGTTCATTTTGAAATTGGCCGAATCTCAGGGGCTAATTGGTAGTTGGCTAAACCTCAAGGGAGGTAAATGTAATTAAGCCTTTTTTAAATTACTTTTCTGTTTAATGTGTACAAGAATCCTAATTTTATGTTTTTAGGATCTATATTAAAATGTTATTCAGGTAGTAGTAGTAGACTAACTTCACTTTACAACTTTGAACTTATACCACTTTCTCACTTTATACCTTAAATTTTAATTTTTGACACTTTACAACCTAAATTCTTAATTTTGGACACTTTGCAACCTAAACTTTTAATTTTGTCCAATTTAAGTCTAATCAATGACAACTTTTGCAAAATTAACAATATTAAGGATGGTGAAAATCTATAAAAATGTATCATTTTGTTCTAATTACAATCCATTGGCTCTTTTCTGACCACACACATTGTTATTGATTTATATAGTCAAAGTTCTTAATATTGTGAGTAAATTAACGAGATAAAGAATGGTGTAAATTAATAATAATTTATCATTTTATTTATGCTATGATATGTTGGCTCCTTTTGACCACTTTTACACATTGTCATTGATTTTTAGGGTTCTATATGATATTAATTTTGCTAATGTTGTTATTGATTGTATTTAAATGAGACAAACATGAGAGTTTAGGGTTCGAGGTATCCAATATTAAGAGTTTATGGTGTAAAGTGCCCAAAATTAAAAGTTAGAGTGTAAAGTGAAAAAAAGTAATATAATTTTTGGGGTGCAAATTGGATTCAGTCACTTTCTTGAATGCTTGTTGCAGAATTTGTAATTTATGTATATTATTTTATAATCTGAGAAAATGATTTGATAGTTTTGGTTTTGATCAATTTAAACCATTCATATATTGTACATTTAAACTTTAAAAGTGCGATGCCATGAACTTGCCCAATATTATAACATAACGTTAAAAACTATACATTTGGATTAAAAAGTTCTATATTTGAAGTTACCGGACCCCAAAAAAATACATGACTGGAGATCATATCAATTTAGAGCCATCCACCAACTCCTTCTATTGATTTTCTTCTTTTTTATATTTTATAAAGTTGAAGAAATACTGATTCTTATAGTGCTTGTCTCTAGAGATTTTGGTTTTCTTATACGCAACTTTTCCATTTATCAGATTTATTCTTTTTGTATCATGCACGTCATAGGAGGATTAGAAGTTGGAGAATAATTTTGGACTACGGCATGACTAATTAGGTGGTCTAACATATACTGTTGTTTTCTTGTAAACAATTTCTTTTAATGCATAAATATATTTATTTTTATTTAGTTATGTAAAATATTTAAGGGCAAATTCCACTTTACCCCCTTGTGGTTTAGCCTTTTTTTTACATAACCTCCCTATAGTTTCAAAAGCTATGCATAACCCCCTCATAGTTTGGATTAAAGTGTCAAAGTGACGGGAATGATCATTCTTAACGGAGTTATCTAAAATGTCAAAAATATCCTTATGTAAAGTTGAAAATTATTTATTAACCAAGGGGGGTTATGTATATATTTTGAAAACCATAAGGAGGTTATATGGTAAAATATTAAACCATAAGGTGGTTATATGGTAAAATATAAAAATCATACGGGATTACTGTGTCATGTATTTATAAGGGTAATTTCGATATTTTTAGAAGTTTCGTTATGAATGACTATTTCCGTCACTTTAACACTTTTATTCAAACCATGAGGGGGTTATGTAACTATAAAGGGATTATGTAAAAAAATGCTAAATCATAGGGGGGTAAAATATAATTTGCCCAATATTTAACTATCGTAAGTATTTTTTCTTGAGAAAAGGAATCAATTTGCCTATCTCTCTCGCCATCACTATATTAAGGCGGGGGATTATTTCTTAGTTGGGGGAT